CCAGTTCATGCCCCCCCCCACGGCGTCGCCCATCTCCGGAGCCGTGCACGACCAGCTCAACTGCTAGCCCACCAGATCCGGGTGAAATGCGGCCACCGGCTCCTCCTCCATCACCTCCTCCGCCTTCACCATCTCCAGCTCGGGGATGCCGACGTCGCCGGCCGTAAAGAGGGCCATCATCTCCTCGAGGCCCTCCCATTGGCGCTCATCGTGTGTGCGCATGGAGTCCTCCATGACACGCTGCATGAGCCGGGCCTCCTCCTCCGCTGTCATACGAGAAGGTGAAGGTGGTGACGGAGACGGGGAAGACGACGGCGTGGGCGTGAGGCCGTGCACCCATGTATGCCCGCGCACCCGTGCCTGCGAAGTAGGACGCGCACCGCGTGTCGTGCTCGTCCTGGAGCCACGTGTCCCAGAGGCCGGAATCGGGGGCGTACCTATCGTCGAAGTAGAGGTCGTCGGGGAGGAGGCGGCGGCAGCGCTCGATCTCATCGCAGCGCGCACGGCCGCTCATCGACACCGGCGGGATCGGGACACGGTCGGTGGAGAGGTGCCAATTGTTGGTGAGGTGGATGTCGCTCCACGGGAGCGGCGTCCTCGTCTCCCAGTATCGCCGGCATACATCAACGCTGAGGTATTTCCGGTCGCGCTCGCCGACGGGCCTAGGGGCGATGGTGAAGGGGCCCGGCGCGGGGGCGACGCGACCTCGTCCTTCTTCACGGAGCCCGGCGGCGTCCCGACGAGGAGCCAGCCTCGCGGTCGTGCTTCCCCTTGCGGCCGTAGTTCCAGAGCCCCATGGAGCCCAGTGATCCGTAAACGTGAGACACGACCAAACTCAGCGTAAACTAGAGCCAAAGCAACCCTCCGCTCCTTTTTAGCCTGCATATAATTTGTCAAAAGTCAAACTATCTCTACTTATAGAAAAAAATATCAACATTCACAGTGCCAAATCAATATTGTTAGATTTATTGTAAAATATAGTTCCATAATATTTTTTTTTTATATTGTAGATGTTCATATTGTTTCATATAAATTTGGTCAAACTTTGAATAGTTTGACTTGACAAAAATATCATACGCAGAGTAAAAAGGATCAAAAGGAGTACATCAGAAAACAAGAAACATCCGCTATAAGAGCCTGAATTCGACTACTATTCTGTTCCAGCTGACTTGGCTCGAAACGACCTGGATTCTGCACGAGTCTGGACGGGAGCTCCGTTCCTTCATTTCTGCAGAGCACCATGGCTTGTGTACCATCGTCGGACTGAATTTTCTCCTTGGATGAATCCCATGCATGCACCCAGCCGAGGACTCGAGCAACCAGCAGCCAGCCGAGGACTGCACCTGCACGGGATCAGTCGACCGAGTCGTCGTCCATCCATCCGTGGAATCTTCCGCCCCCAAAATTACCATGACATCGCACCTCGAGGAGAGTCGCGGCTGGCTCCGTTCCAAATTCCAAAACCGCGCGGGTCACCAGTACCGCTTTCGTCCATGGCGGCCCGTGTGGTTTGACTGACTAACTGACCCGTCTGTTCACTTCACAGCCGTCAGCGTCAGAGATTAGAAGGGTCGTCGTCATCGTCGTCGTCTCACAGGAGGCTTACACGTAGCTATGAGGATGTGTACGTGGTACGGGCCAGCAAGCAACTCTGTCTGCAGCACAGCGTACTACATTTTGTCCCTTTGCCTTGCTTGGACCAGACACCGGAGACTGACTTTCTAGCACGCAAGTGAAAGTTGTTGTTATTACCATGGTGAATCTGTTCTTCGACTGAGACATCACTGGTGTGTTTCGAGTTGGCCGAGCTTCATGCACCAATCAACCAATCAGATGGTCGGCCGTAAGCTCAAGCTAGCCGTTGGAAATAACTGAGACCTCCTCTTCACCGCTTCAATGTATAATACTACTCCCTCCGCTTCCAAATACTTCCTCCGTTCATTTTTGTAAGTCGTTTCACACAATCGAAAATGAACTGCTTTGCACACTGTCTGAAATGTCTTCAAGGCCTTGTAAAAGTGAACAGAGCGAGTATAAATCTATTTAGAGATTCCAATATGAACTACATATGGAGTAAGATGTGAATCTACAATCTAAACTATGTCTATATACATCCGTATGTGGTCCATATGCGAAACCGGGAGGCGGGTCATAATATCTTTCAAAACAATCAACTCAAGTCGATTGGGGTTCTCCGAGGATATACTATCATTAGGCCTAGCGAAGTGGGAAAAAAGAACCAGAAAACAGGAAGCAAACCTTTCAGGCATCAAGGCAAAAGTAGGTAACTTGCCAGACTCAGTATGAACCATAGTTGAGGTGCAGAATCCGGGGAAGCGGGTCATAATATTTTTCTAAACATTTGAGTCAAGGCAACAAGAGTACTCCAAGGTGACGCTGCAGTCAACGAAGTGGATTGGGGAGAAGAGACGGGAAGTCATAAGCAAACGTATATAGTCGAAGCAGATATCAAGCCAAAATGGAGTAGCATTAAAAGATCCAGTGTGAAATGTCGTCTAGGTGCGAAATCTCGGAAGACAAGTCATAATACATTTCCAAAGACTCTAGTTAAGGCAGTGATGGTACAAAATACCACGGTTTCTATGCAAGCAAATAACCTGAGCTCGCATTTATTTCTGGATTTATTTCAGGATTTTCGGCGATGCGCATTCAGTGGGAGGAGACGCGTCGACGACGAGGTGCCTATGATGACTTGTAAATTTCAAGATGATATGTCGATCCAGTCTTTCGGAGGTGCTCATAGAGGTAGGGTGTGCGTGTGTGTGTGTGTGTTCATAGGGATGAGTGTATGCGCGTGTATATGAACGCTTGCGTCGGTACTGTGTTTAAAAAAAACTGAGGCAAACCAAGATTCTCAAGGCGTGCACCCTGAGTGGTGAAGGCAATGTTATGAGATTCAATGCAACGGAACTCAAGGCCCTCTTT